TCACAATAGCAAGAACCTGGAACCAACCATGCTGTCCATCAAAAGAGGACTGGATTAAAAAAATGTGGTACATATATACGATGGAATACTATGCAGCCATAAAAAAGAACAAAATCATGAATTTCGCAGCAACCTGGATGGAACTAGGAGTCAATAATACTGAGTGATCTCTCACAGAAACAAAGATCTGAGTATCACATGTTCTCACTCATATAGTGGACCTTGAACATCCACCGTAATACTATATAAAAAAAAAGACTGACAGTGGTGGGAAACTATGGGCGGGGAGGGGAAGGGAGGTGGGATTAATGGTAGTCAATATCTGTCTGGGAACGGGGAGACACCCCTTATCAACGAGAGTGCCTGAATGAAGCATATTTGTATACCTAACCCTAAACCGTACTCCACAATATCAAAATAAAAAATATTGATTTAAAAAAAAAAGAACATGTAAGTACCACAGCGCATAAAGAAGACAGTGCAGGGCAGCACAGGAAGGATGTCCACTGATCAACTGGCTGTGTGACTTTAGGCAAATAAAGCAACCTCTCAGAGTATTACCTTGTTCACTTATAAAAAGGAACTTTAAAAAATTCCCTTGAAGGAATTTTTAAAATGAAACAAGACGATGTAAATTAAACCTAGAGCATAGTAGCTGGGGCTGCTCAGTGGTGGTTAGAGCCCTTCTCATTAAGCTATGATGAATTAGAGTACCTGGAACAGAGAGAAAGGCAAAGAACAAAGTTACTAGTTTGTTTGGGATGGCTCAACAGAAGTTGCACTGGGGCGAGGCCTTAACTTTGGAAAGGAGCTTTTATTAACATAATGCTGACAGTTGATTTATTTTCACCTCCTTTTCTCTTGGGAAGGAGAGATAAAAGGAAAGGGTTAAACAAAAGCTTAACTCCTCAGGCTGCTGAATACCTGCATGATGAATGTCCTGACAACGTATTTTTCCAGATAAGGTTAGAGCTACAGATCTGTTGCACCTAAGAACTGGATGTTTTCTTTAGCCAGAGTTTTGTGTTTCCTCAACAATTTCAACTCTGCCTGGGCCGCCTTAAGCCAGACCCTCCCCTTTTGCTCTTTTCTTTTTCTGTGTTGGACATTGAAGAAAACCTGAGGAGTTGGAGGCGCAAAAAGAAATGGAGGAATGTGTTGAGCCTCTTTGATCCAAATTCCCTGGCTTCACATTTCACACAGCAAGGAGTTCCTTGGTGTCTAAAATGTGCAGAGAGCTCTGGGCCCTCCTGCTCCCTTTCCACCAACTTTTCTTACACGCTGAAGAATACTCACCTTATTCCTCTGAACTCACTGGCCTCTCCACCTCACCTCCACTCCTCCCTCCTCCACCCTCCACTCTGCTCACTTTACACCCCAAAGGAGCCCCAAGTCCTGATTTCTTTTTTTTTTTTTTGAGTTGGAGTCTCACTCTGTCACCCAGACTGGAGTGCAGTGGCTGCTCCTGGCCACTGCAGCCTTGACCTCCTGGCCTCCAGCGATCCTTTCGCCTCAGCCTTCCAAGTAGCTGGAACCAAAGGCACGCATGACCACACCCGGCTAGTTTTTTTTATTTATTGTAGAGATGAGGTCTTGCCAAGTTGCCCAGGCAGGTCTTGAACCTGCGGACTCAGGCAATTCACTCACCTCAGTCTCCTGAGTAGCTGAGACTACAAGTGCATGGCACCATGCCCGACTAATTTTTTGATTTTTTTTTGTAGAGACAAGGTCTAGCAATGTTGCCTAGACTGGTCTCATACTCTTGGACCTGTAATGTGAGTGCAGAGTCTGCAGTTTTTGATCCTGCCAGGAATTAGGTCCAGAGAATGTTCACTTTGCCCTGAGTACTGCCCTGGTCTATAGCATGGGTACAGGGGCAAAGATGGTAGGGGGTGACTCTGATTGGATATGGTTTGCAATATTCAGTGCTAAGAGACTCTGAGGGTAGATGGATGTGCTCTGTGTCTGGAGATTTGATAGGGATCTAGTTTGAAGACCTTCCAGAATTTTCATGACCTCTTTCCATCTTAATGACTGGATTACAATCATATTAATTTTTTGCTGTATAAGTTCTCATGTGTTTGTTCTGAAGTCAAAAGGGGAAATGAGACAGACAAAGAGTCTTCATTTATCTACTTTACACTATCCTCACCTCACTATGTGATGGCTGAGAAATTACTAAACAAAACAAGGCAGCAACATGTTCATTTATAGATTTAGAGAAAACAGTGCTGATTAGGGATAATAATGTTTTAACTGGGCAAGAACAACTTCTCTATACGTTATCTCAGGTGGAGTAATGGGAAGAGCATAATCTCTGGAAATAGATCTAAATGTTACATATTTGTGCTTGTGCTATACTGTAGCTATGCGACCTCACTAAAGCTCAGTTTCCACATTTTTAAATAGAAAAGGTGTACTATTCCCTAGGTTGAGGAAGCCAACACCTGATTCACTGTATAACTTAGTGTTTTACACTTACTGCTGAGAAATTAAATGAAGATCAGAACTTAAAATGATTAATGTAATCTAATAATGGGCCCTAGGTTGAGAGACTAACTGAAGCTCTTAGCAGATTATGTGAGACATGGTTGACTGTCTTGGTCAGTGGTTTCTCTCCCCTGACTTTCTCACTTAGTAAGTTCATTCTTTCTGCAGACCCCGGCTATATTTACTGCAGCTATATCCCAAATCTGAGTCTTCAGGGCTGACCTCTTTTGGAAATTGGGGAAGCTGGTGCCCAGTTGTGGGGCATTATTTGGGAGGGGAGCTAGGCTAAAGAAGCACAGAAGCTCTTGAGAACTGACCAAGAATAGGTGTCCAGGGGCACACAAGGCCCAAAGCTGTTTGTAAGAAGCCAGGAAGAGGGACGCCATTAACTGGGTGTGTCAGAGCTGCTGAGAGCTCATGTGCACCAGGAAATAACAATCTATATCATATACAAGAAGGAAAACTTAGACCAAATATGTCTTCTGTCTTGACTTAAAGATAACATAATATAAAATACAAATCCCATAATAATTTTGGATTGTAAAAAAAGATCCGTATTTGAAAAAGAGTGCTACATGTATGGTTCTGGTCTTCTAACAATGGGGACGTACTTCTCTCTGTATGGATTATTAGCTCAGGAGGTCTAGGTGGGTGGATGAGTGCAGACTTAGGGGATAAGTCTCCTCTACATGATGCATTCAAAAGGCCAAGCTATGACTGGTTAGGGAGTATTTATGATGGTATGTAAAGAAAATATTTAATATTTATTAGATTACATTCATCATTTTAAGTTCTGATCTTCATTTAAATTCTCAGCAGTGATTGTAAAACATTAAGTTATAAAGTGAATCAGTGCTATGTGAATAATGGTCCCAGACCTAAATGGATGAAGGTACCAGACATGATTATGGGGCAGCCCAAAGAAATACAGTAAATTTAGAAGAGGGCCACATCCAATTGACCACCTTATCCAATATTAGGATATCCCCATTTTCATGTTTTTCTTCTTGCTTACATGTAAACAACAGTGAACTTTCTCATCAGTTCCTACTGTTCACTAATACCCTCAACAAAAGCAAAGGCAGAGATGACGGTGCATATTCTCAAAAGAAGACAAACAATAATGTTGGGTTTTGGTTATTTATGGAGCTAAGAAGAAGGGAACTTGGTTGGAGGCCCCATAGGAGAAACTGTGCATTGAATCAAAAAGCAGAACTATAGAAACCGGCATTGGAGCAATCACTAGGCAACAACAGCCACTTGGGAAGCTGGAGGTCTGTCCCAGAACCAGCTTCTGTGACTAAAGAAATGAAGAAAACTACTGCTTTAAGGCACACATAGTCTCTCCAGTCAGATCAGGAACTCTGTGGGCATAAAAGGAAACATCATTGCAGGTAACTGCCCCCCTTGCTCTAAGTCCCAAGAGAGAAATATTATGGTGAGAGAGTGGCTCTCATTCTGATAAAGAACAGAGTTTACTCAGCTTCCTCCATCAATAGAACCAAGTAATGCTCTTCCCAACCCCCATTCACCCAAGGGCTGAGGTGGAAAGAGACGTTGAGGCCTGACTCTCTTCCCAGCAGGTGCCTCAGCATAACACAAAAGAGGCACTTATATCCTTCCATACTCCCCCTCAAGGAAATTGAAGCAGGAATGTTACCTGTTTATTGAGATTCTTGTTGAACTGAAATGAAAGGAGGAAAGAGACAGTATTCAGCTACCAAAACCACTTTAGTAACTTTTCCACTCTATCTTCCATTGCCCATGTCCTAATGGATGCCCTGCACAAGCCCAAGCCTGAGTAACTGGACCTCAAGCATCTGATTGCATTAAGACCCCATCCTGGGATCCTCTCTCCCTACAGGCCATCTTGGCTCAATGACTATTTTATCCAGCGGTCCTCCAGACTCTCTGGAATGACTTTTTTGTCTCATTCCCTTATAATAAAAAATGGGTGAGCAAGCCAGAAGAAGGCAAATCTCGATCCTCTTGCAGGTGTCCTTACCTTTCTTGCTCCTCCTGTGCATGCAGATGCCCATGCCAAAGATGATGAGCCCCAGTATGAAGCCCCCAGCTCCAGTCAGCGTCTTGCTCTGGGCAGAATCAGACTGCACTTCTGGGAAGAAGAAACCCGGGGTCAGTGTCACCTCCACCAGCTGCACCCCCACTCAAGTCCTGTTTGATCCTGGAGTCTGATGTAGAATATTGGCACAAGGACAGTGAGGGGGATACATTTTGGGTAAGCAGGAAATTTAGAGAGACCCACCCACTCAGTTCTAGAAGGGAGGATGTGACCTCAGCAAGGTACAGACTCTGGAATTTGTCCCTTAAAATAACTCAGAATAGGTCAAAAGCCTGAAGGAAAAGAAATTCCCATGTGTGAGGGCAATCAAGGAAGGTGTCTGATTCCCCAGATTCTCTGACAAGGAGGGAGAACCATATGCATCCTCGGGATCCCTCATGCTGAGGAAAGACAAGTCTCCACTGTTCCCAGCTTAAAACAACACTCAGGGGCTTACCGAGAAGAAGGATGGCGGTGGACATGGCCTCAGGGTGTAGACACATAAGAGAAGATGAGTGTGGACCCCACAGCCAGCGAGTCCCCTTTCCCTTCAGGGGTGGGGGTAACGGGTCAGCGGGGAGTAACTCACTCCACTCCACGGTGAGAGGACTGTCCAGGCTGGGGTGCTCCACTTGGCAGGTGTAGATGTCTCTCTGCTGGGGGGTCATTTCCAGCATCACCAGGATCTGGAAGGCCCAGTCTCCATTGCGGATCAGGCTGGTGGACACAACCCCGGCTATTTCTTCCTGTCCATTGAGGAACCATCGGACTTGAATGCTGCCTGGATAGAAATCTGTCACGTGGCAGACAAGCAGGTTGTGGTGCTGCAGGGGCTTCTTCTTGGCGGGGGAGATGTTCACTCTAGGCTGAACTGGGAGTGGGGAAGAAACAGGTATCAGGCCCTTCCCTCCACCCGCCCAGCAGGCCGTCCAGTGGGACCCTTCAGGCACCTTGCAACTCGTCGTCGCCCCCACAAGTTTCTTCTCTGCATGTCCTGCTCTGCCTGGAGGTTCTATGTCCATCCCCACAGCAAGCCCCCTGCGAATTGTCCTGGCGCCTCCTTCCCTCCATCCCCGTCCACAGCCAGGCCTGATCCTGTCCCCTCCACAGCCAGGCCTGATCCTGTCCCCAGGTCTGTCTACACCACCTTCCCTCTCTCCACGCCCAGCCCAGCTCAGGTCCGGGCGCTTGCTCCCGGACACATCCCGGGCTGGCCTCGCTCACCCATCGGTCCCCAGCTCCAAAGTCCTCCTCCCGCGCCTCACGATTGCCCCTTAGGTCGGCAGCTGTGCCTGCTCTCTGGGGCCGCCGCAGCCCTCACCTCGGCGCTGCAGGGTGACGGCCTCATCCCGCTTGTAGCTGTATCTGCACAGCGTGTCCACCAGGGCCCGCCTCTCCGCCGGGAGGCCCTTCCGTCCGTTCCAGTCCTCGGCTGTGGACCGCCCCAGCTCGGTCACCGCGCGCGGTACTCCCCCACGTCGCTGTCGAAGCGCACGTACTCCTCCCGGATGGAGATGTACCTCTCTATGTAGCGCTGCGTCTGGTTAAAAGCGTAGCAATCCATTCGACCGTGGTACAGACAATTCTCTGCGGAGAGTGAGGGTGGGTAGGCGGCGAAGGGGTGGGGGAGAGGCCTTGAGACGGGGCGTCCTTTCCCCTCCCCATCTCCGTCTGTCTCCCTCTCAATATTAACGATCCATTCTCCTCAAATTCCCCCTCAGAGTTAGATTTTAAAAGTTTTCCTAATACCGGGTTATGTCATCCTTGGCAGGTCATGGAACCTTGCTAGGCCTAGATTTTCTCACCCATAAATGCCAGGGTTTCCTGCAAATAACGCGACTGGCTGCTCAGGGGTGACTCAGGGATCACAGAGAGAGGGTCAGATATGGGGAGGAAGCCATCACCTCTCCCACGTGGAGTAGGAGGGAAGGCCTCTGATCTGGCCTTTCAGGTTGGAGCAGAATCCACCAGGCCAGGAGAGAAGCAGCAGGGGTGGGGATGGGGGGTGGGGGGAGGTGGGGGGGAGGCAGGGGTGGGGAGGGATGTACCTTAATTGATGAAAATTACCACCACAATCAGAGACCTATGGGGGTAGACTCCTGTGTCTCAGAGGCCTTGATGGTGTAATTTTTGTAGAACCGTGTGGGGCAGCCTTTCCCATATGCTGTTCTTCCTCTGGAGTGCCTGCCTATCTACACACAAGCAGCAGTAACCTAGAACATTTCTGTTGGCTTCTGTCTGAATCTCTTCAGGCCTGCTCTGTTCTTGGGCACAATGAGCATATTAAGGTGGTGTGATTGTTTGCACATCTGTTTCATGCTCAGGTAAACTAACAAATTCACTTCTCAAGATAAATACCTACTGTCTTCTTATTATATCCAACATCTAACGGAGCACTCAGTAATTTTTTTAAATCGGTGAATGAGTTCACCAACAAGTAGAATGAATGATATACCTGGAACATAAGAAGGAACTCTAAAGAGTTTATGGGGTGTGTTTTGGTTCTAGGGATTTTACTTGGGAGGTGGGAATGACAGAAGAGTAAGTACACAGAGAATCACTTGCACAGTGAGCTTCTGCAAGTGTCCAGCTGGTGTGACAGGAGGACTGGGAGTGTGGCCCTGAAGCCCGGGTAGGAGGTGTGGTGACGGGGGAACTCAGTTGGGAAAGGCCTATTTTAAAACTCAGTCAGAGTCCAAAGGGTGTTGCCTCCATGAGTGCTTTGTGCTGCATCGCCTGATGCCCCTGAAGGGTTGTCTCAACCAGACTTTTCTTCCCTCAACCCTTTTAAGCCAAATCCCGGTTCCTTGAGCCTTTTCTCTTCTTTCTTGTTGAGGTTGGGGATGGGTATGAAGTTGGAGAAGTATGAAAGGAATTGTGGAATCACCCTGCCCAGTCTACCCACACTCCCCTTTGGCTCCAGCGTTTCCTCCAGCAGGTGCTTTTTGTTTTTTTTTTAAGTCAGGGTCTCATTCTGTCACCCAGACTGAAGTGCAGTGGCATGGCCAAGGCTCCTTGGCACAAGCAATCCTCCCACCTCAGTCTCCCGAGAAGCTAGAATTACAGGTGTGCACCACCACTCCTGGCTAATTTTTATTTATTTTTATTTTTTGTAGAGATGAAGTCTCACCATATTGTCCTGGCTGGTGTTTTTTTTTTGTTTTGAGTTGGAGTCTCACTCTGTCGCCCAGACTGGAGTGCAGTGGCTGCTTCCAGCCACAGCAGCCTCAACCTACTGGGCCCCGGCAATCCTTCCGCCTCAGTCTTCCGAGTAGCTGGAACTACAGGTGCGTGCTACCATGCCCGACTAATTTTTTGATTTTATTGTAGAGATGAGGTCTCGCCTGGCCAGGCAGGTCTCGAACCCGCAGGCTCAGGCAGTCCACTCACCTCAGCCTCCCAAAGGCACAGGAGCCACCGAGCCTGGCTAGAACCGTGCTTTTTACTTAAGTTTCTGTTTGTTTATTATTGGTGTATAGAAATGCGATTGTCTTTTGTACATTTATTTTATACCCTGAGACTTTGCTAAAATTCTTTATCAGTGCAAGGAGGTTTTTGGCTGATTCTCTTGGGTTTTAAAGGTATACAATCATGTCATCTGCAAAGAGAGATAACTTGACTTCCTCTTTTCTATTTGGATACCCCTGATCGCTTTCTCTTCTCTGATTGCTCTGGCTAGGACTTCCAAAACTATGTTAAACAGGAGAGGTGAGAGTGGGCATCCTTGTCTTGTTCCAGTTTTCAGGGGAAATGCTTCCAATTTTTGTCTGTTTATGAGTATGCTGGCTGTGGGTTTCTCACAGATGGCTTTTACTATTTTGAGCTATGTTCCACCTATGCCTAGATGTTAGAGGGTTTTTATCAAGAAGGGGTGCTGGATTTTATCAAAAGCTTTTTCTGCATCTCATGATATAATAATGTGGTTTTTTGTTTTTTACGTTTGTTGGTGTATTTAATTATGTTTGTGGTCTTATGAATGTTGAATCAGCCTTGCATCCTGGGCATGAAGCCTACTTGGTCGTGATGGATGATTTTTGAGATGTGCTGTTGAGTCCTACTTGCTAGGATCTTGTTGAGAATTTTAGCATCTATGTTCATCAAAGATATTGGCCTGAAGTTCTCTTTCTTTGTTGGGTCTTTACCTGGTTTGGGTATCAATGTGATGTTAACTTCATAAAATGATTTGGGGAGAGTTCCATCTTTCTCAATTGCCTAGAATACTTTCAATAGGATTGGTATGAGTTCCTCCTTGTATGTTTTGTAGAATTCTGCTGGAAAACCATCTGGTCCAAGGCTTTTTTAAATAAAATTTTTAAAGAAGACTAAAATAGTTGTGAAATATGGTGAAGAAAATATAAAAACAAAAAATGAACTTACCTGTAATAAGAAGATATTAGAGATATCCTTCTTTAAAACAAGATCAAAATAAGGATGTGCATTGTTACCATATATAATGCTGTAATGAGTATTCTTCTATGAAAATGAAATAAAATGACTAGTAATTTGATGAGACAAATATTATTTCAGACAGCTTACATATCATGAAGACTCAAATAATAAGAAATCTGGGTAGAATTCAGTGGCTCTTGCCTGTAATCCCAGCACTTTGGGAAGCTGAGGTGAGAGATTGCCTGAGACCAGAAGTTCAAGACCAGCCTGGGCAACTTTGTGGCACTTTGTCTCTATAATAAATAAAAAATTAGCCTGGTATGGTGGCACGTGCCTGTAATTCCAGCTACTTGGAAAGCTGAGGCAGTAGGATCGCTTGAGTCCAGTAGGTTGAGACTGTGGTGGCTGTCAGTGTGCCACTGCACTCCAGCTAGGGTGACAGAATGAGACTCCTACTAGAAAAGGAAAGAAAATAAAAGAAATCTCGATAATAAGAATTATTAGCCATGACAATTAGGCAAGAAAAAGAAGTAAGGGGTATCCAGATTGAAAAGAAGAAATCAAACTCTCTCTGTATGCTGATGATATGATCTTATACCTAGAGAATCCTAAAGACTCTTGGACTCCTGGATGAATGAATTCAGTTAAAGTTTCAGGATACAAAATCAACACACACAAATCAGTAGCACTGCTAGACACCAATAGGGACCAAGCTGAGAATTAAAGCAAGAACTAAATTTCATTCACAGTAGCAAACCAAAAGCTAAAATATCCAGGAATAATTCAAACCAAGGAGGTGAAAGATCTTTACAAGGAGAAGTACAAAACTCCAATGAAAGAAATCATGGAGGACACAGACAAATAGAGAAACATTCCATGCTCATGGATTGGAAGAATCAACATTGCTAAAATGACCATGTTACCCAAAGTAATCTACAGAGTCAATGCAATCCCTACTAAACTACCAATGTCATTTTTCACAGAACTAAAAAAAAATCCTAAAATTCATATGGAGCCCAAAAAGAGAGAGAATAGCCAAAGCAATCCTAAGTAAAAAGAATAAATCTGGAGGCATCACATTACCTGACTTCAAATTATACTACAAGGCTGTAGTAATCAAAGAAACATGGTATGGGTACAAGAGCATGGACCAATGGAACAGAACAGAGAATCCAGAAATAAGCCCAAATACCCACAACCAACTGATATCTGGCAAAGTAGACAAAAACATATACTGGAGAAAGGACACCTTATTCAACAAATGGTCCTGGGAAAATTAGAGAGCTACATGCAGAAAAATGAAACTTGATCTCTGTCTCTCTTGGTATAAAAAAATTTACTCACAATGGATTAAAGACTTAGCTGCCAGGTCTGAAACCATGAATATCCTAGAAGAAAACATGAAAAAACAATTCTGGACATTGGCCTAGGCAAATAATTTATGACTAAAACCTCAAAAGCAAATGCAACAAAAACAAGAACAAGTGGGACTTAATTAAACATAAAAGTTTCTGCATAGCAAAATAAATAATTAACAGAGCAAATAGGCAACCTACAGAATGAGAGAAGATATTCACAAACTGGACATCCAACAGAAGACAAATATCCAGAATCTACAAATAACTCAAACAAATCAGCAAAAAAAAAAAAACAAAAGCAAATAACCCCATTAAAAAGTGGGCAAACGACATGAACAGACATCTTTTGAATATATACAAGTGACCAACAAACATATGAAAAATGCTCAATATCAGGGAAATGCAAATTAAAACCACAATGAGATGCCATCTTACACCAGTCAGGATGGCTATTAATAAAAAAACTGAAAAACAATAGATGCTGGTGTAGATGCAGAGAAAAGGGAATACTTATACACTGTTGGTGGGAGGAGAAATTAGTATACTCTCTATGGAAAGTGGTGTGGAGGTTACTCAAAGAACTAAAAATAGATCTACCATTTGGTTCAGCAATACCACTACTAGGTATCTACTCAAAGAAACAGAGGTTGTTATGTAAAAAAAAGACACCTGTACCCACAAGTTCATTGCAGAGCGGTTCATGATTGCAAAGATGTGGAAACAACCTAAACTCCTCTCAACTGATCAGTGAATAATGAAAATGTGGTATATATACACCATGGAATACTATGTAGCCATTAAAAAAATGAAATCATGTCCTTTGCAGAAACATGGTTGGAGCTGCAGTTCATCATCCTAAGTGAACTGACTCAGAAACCGAAAACCAAACACTGTGTGTTCTCACTCAAATGTGGAAGCTAAACAGTCACAAAGATGGAAATAATAGACACCGGGGACACCAGTAAGACAGGGCTGCGGGTTTAGGGCTTAGAAACTACCTATGGGTCACAATTTCACTATCTGGGGAATGGGCCACCTGAGACCCAATCTTCATCACTAAACAGTATGTTCGTGCAACCAACACACATCTGTACCCCTGAATCTATAAAAAACCAAAAAAACTTAAGGTCATAAAATCATACACACACCACACAATAAAAATTATGTAGAAATTTCACTAACCAAGGTAATCAGGAATAGAAAAATTCCTACAAATCAACTTCATTCAAGTTAATTAAAACCTCTAAATGAAAACTAAAACTTTGTGGAAGGATCGCCGGAGCCCAGCAGTTGAGGCTGCGGTGGCCGGGAGCGGCCACTGCACTCCAGTCTGGGCGACAGAGTGAGACTCCAACTCAAAAAAAAAAAAGAAAAGAAAACTAAAACTTCTACATCAAAGATGGAATAAAAATCCATGATCTCAGGTGCATTTATTTTTAAATACCAATAGAATATGTTTGTAAACTTGATGAAATAACTTAAAACATTGTTTAGAAAAATTAGTAGACAGAAACATCAAAGATCACCTGAATGTCTGTGATGGGGTTAGGGGTAAGGAATGATGGAGCATCATATAAGACGTTTGCTGGCAGAAGAAATTATGACTTGTCTTCTCAAGTTTTTCTCTAACTCTAAAAATGAACTGTGAATTGGAGTTTCTTTGACCATGCTGGTCCCTGAAAATTCTCCCATCTTGTCCCCAGACCCTTTGGCACTCTCTTCACCCAGCAACAGAGAATGCCAGCTCTATTATGTGCCTGACTGGTTAAGTAAGCCCAGCTATACTGATTCCCCTCCACCCATTTTGGCCATTTTCAGGTGATAGAAGCCCACAGTTTCAGAGCTCTTACTGTCCCCACCCTGCCTCAGTTCCTTATCATTGTTCCTGTGCTCACAGCTGTTAGCTGTAGACCCCACAACGTGTTCCCTGAAGAGAGAATGTCCCAGACCAGAGCTGTGATCCTGAGAGTCCTCTCCTTGATTTTCCTGCTGAGTCTCCTAGGAGCTGAGGCCATCAAGGGTGAGTCCTCAGAAGGATTCTTGAGCCTCGGGGGTGAGAAGTGGGGGCAGGCTATCATAAATTGCTGTTTCAGGAATTAGGGACTCACTGATCTATTTTTCCTCTAACTCCTTTTTTCCTCTTCATTCCTTTTTGTGAGATTCACCGTTTTTCCCTCTCGCTCTAATAATAATAGCAATAGCAACCACAATTTACTAGACACCTATGTAATTTCTTTCCCCATTTACATCTCACAAGAACCTTCAATGAAGATATTATCAACTCCATTTTAGAGGTGAAAAAACCAAAGCTCAAAAAGATTAATACATTTTCCATGGTTACATATCAATTCAAAGAGCCAAGTTTAAAGTCCAGGCGCCGTTGTGATGATCATACTCTGCATTGCCCACACTTCTGCACACAGTGACTTTCTAACTGAGACCTGCTGGGCTCCACATCCCTCCTACCTCTCCTGGATCCCCAGCTTCTGTTTTGTGTGGCTGCTTTTAAAGGACCCAAAGGTATGGGCTCTCTGTGTTAGAACCTAGGCAAGAAAGTACTAAGAGTATCTTGCTTCTTTTTCAATATCCTAGGACTCTTTCAGGGTCTTTGTGGGTGGTTCCCAAGCTTTTTTTTCTCTCCTCAAGATAGCAGAGTTGCATGTTTTTGTTAGCCTTATGATTCGAGTCCTGAGAGACCCAGTGACCATTGGGAGGTTTAGACTTTGGATGACAGCAAGAATTCTACCAGGTATTGTAAATCATGGTGAACACTCTTTCTCCCTCCTGTCCTGATATCAGGAAGCATTAAACCTGTGCATGTTATTGTCATACAAAAACCTAGTGATGTGAAGGTTTAGCATTCACAATAGAAAAGATGCAACCTGGCCTCCAGGCAGTTTTATTTAAGGCGTGGGGTTCAAGTGCATGGAGAAGTAAAAAGGAAGTGAGGTTAGGCAGAACCAGAATTACCTATTGCCAGGTTGATGGTCACTCAGGTATTTCCAATGTTATGTTATAATATAAATCACAATGAACATATCTCCATATAGACATGAATACTCTTTAAGATTCTTAGCCGGGCTCGGTGGCTCAGCCTGTAATCCCGCGTTTTGGGAAGCTGAGGTGAGTGGATTGCCTGCGCCCGCGGATTCAAGACCTGCCTGGGCAACTTGGTCATCTCCACAATAAATCAAAAAAATTAGCCGGGTGTGGTAGTGCGCATCTGTAGTTCCAGCTACTTGGAAGGCTAAGGCAGAAGGATCGCCAGAGCCCAGCAGATCGAGGCTGCAGTGGCCGGGAGTGGCCACTGCACTCCAGTTTGAGTGACAGAGTGAGACTTCAACTAAACCCCCCCCAAAACCCCCCAAAAAACAGAAGATTCTTGATAGGTAGAACTAATGAATTCAGCTCTGTCTTTATTGCCTCCCTCTCCACTGGTTCCTCCTCTCTCAACATATGAACATGTTCTTCACCTTAAAAACAAAAACATGAACCAACAGTTAAAAAACAACTTTGCCTTCCCTCTGCAGCCTATCCTAGAGATACTCTCTGTGTCCTTACCCATGTAGCTAACCTTCCGACTTTTGTTTCTAATACAACCCCGAGGATACCCTTGTGTTGGCCAGCAGAAGCCTCTATATATGATCAAATCCAGTGGGTACTTTTCAGTGTTTCTCTGACTTGAGTTCTTGATGACATTTGTACTGTAATCTAATCTACTTCTTTCTAATTTCTTATTAAAATTAACTTAATCTATCCTTATTTTTCTTCTATTTCTCTGGATCCTCCTTGTTCTCCTTTGAAATTGACTCTTAATTATCACATTCCCAAGAGCTATAACCTGAGATATTTGTAATTCTTCTTTTTAAGTTTTATTTTATTTTTAATTGACACGTACTAACTGTACATTCTTATGGGGTACAGTGTGATGTTATGATGCATGTATACTTTGTGTAATGATCTAATCGGTATTTAGCATAGATAGGGAATTAACTTACATGATTGGACATTCGAATGCACGTTCATATCCTTGAAAGTTCCTAACTTAAAGGTTCGTATGTGGAACGTATTTGGAGAACTTCAGAAACTTTAGTATGATTGGAGCTAGCCTCAGAAGTAGAACAGTAGCAGGAGATCAGAAGAAATACACAGGCAAAAACAAGGTCATGACAGACCTTCCATGCAAAACTCAGGAGTTTTAGTGCTGTCCTACAACTCACAAGGAATCACTGATGGATTTTAAGCAGGAGAATGACAGCAGAGTTATAGTTTAGGAAGGCCACTGTGGCAGCAGTGTGCAGCGTGAATGGGAGAAGCTAGTTCAAGACGCAAGGCCAACCGTGCTTGAGCAATGAGAGAGAGCAGAAGGCAGGGAGAAGAGACAACAATTTGACTGACACTGGAGAGCTTAGACCTTCAGGAATTGGTGACCGATGTGGGTGTTTAGGGAGGTGGAAAACTCCCAATTAACTTTCTTATTCCTAGACTGCCCAATGCAATCATCTTTTTTTGGGTCATTTTAAAAAATCATATTTTAAATAGACAAATAAGAATTGTATATATTTGTCATGTACAACCTGTTATTTAAAATATGTATACATTGTGGAATGGCTAAATTGAGCTAATTAACATATGATTATCTCACAAGCTTCTTTGTGATGAGAACATTCTTAGCAATCTCAAGAATACACTACATTGTACTTTCTTCTCCCTTTTAATTTTCTATTTTTTTCCCTTTTCCATAACAAGAAAAATGAAATTCCCGTATCTCCAACCCATGACTCTAGAAACAACTTTACATCTGTGGTCCTAAAAGAATTGAGATCTCATGGAAAGAGAAAAATCTGTTAGTTTCACCAATAGCTATGTGACCTTTTAAGCAAGTTACTTAACCTCTACATTTTCTTATCTGTAAAATAATGGGTTATGTATATGCTTTATAGGGTTATTATGCCCATTAAATGAGAGGAATATATAAAGTATTTAGAACAATGCCATGCACAGAGTAAGTACTCAACATCTGTTATTGTAAGCTTCAAAATGTTACTTGTCATTGTTTTTGTAGGTTTGAGATGCCCAGACATTCTTTTTAATTTTTATTTTTTGAGTTGGCTGGAGTACAGCAGTACGCTCACAGCCACCGCAGCCTCCACCTGCTGGACTTAGGCGATCCTTCTGCCTCAGCCTTCCAAGTAGTTGGAACTACAGATGCATGCCACCATGTCCGGCTCGTTTTTGTGATTTATTGTGGAGACAAGGTCTCACCAAGTTGCCCACGCTGGTCTTGAACCTGCAGGCTCAGGATGCCCAGACTTTCAAAGGCCAGGAAGCAGCTTGACTTCTCAGTGAATCCCTTTTCATTTTGTTCCTCCCTCATTTCCTTTTGTAACTACTCTTGACTGCTCTGTAGTATCTCCTTTTTGGTGTTACTCCTCCTTCCCCTATATGTCTTTCCTTTAGCTTCCTTCTACCTTTTTATTTTTTTCTTTGAGTTGGTGTCTCACTGTCGCTGAGGCTGGAGTGAAGTGACATGCTCATGACCAGTGCAGCCTTGACCTACTGGGCTCAGGTGGTCCTTTCACCTCAGCCTTCCCAGTAGCTGGAACCATAGGCGTGCACCACCATGCCCAGCTGATTTTTTGATTTACTGTAAAGACAAGTCTCGACAAGTTGTCTAGGCTGGTCTTGAACCCCTGGGCTCAAACAATCCTCTCACCTTCTTCTCCCAAAGTGCTGGGATTAAAGGCAAGAACCACTGCACCTGGCTTCCTTTGGCCTTTTTATATAAATATTTATTCATTCTTTGGCCTCCACCACTTACATATTCATGCTTCCATTTTGTCACATTTTTCTCTACTTTCTTTATGCAGCGGACCATGTGTCAACTTATGCCATATTTACACAGACATATAGGTCATCAGGGGAATTTATGTTTGAGTTTGATAAAGATTAGATGTTCTACATGGATCTGGACAAGAAGGAGACGGTCTGGCATCTGGAGGAGTTTGGCCGAGCCTTTTCCTTTGAGGCTCAGGACGGGCTGGCTAACATTGCTATAGCGAACACCAACTTGAATGCCATGATCCAGCGTTCCAACTACACCCAGGCCACCAGTGGTACTGCCTTTCTTTGCTTCTTCCTCTCTGGTCAACTGGGAAGGCATGGGAGGGCTCCTGTGCCACACCCAGAATGGGAGACCCAGATGCCCACTGCTGAGGGATTCTTTTCCCCTGAGCGGTCATGGGCTTATTCCAGTACAGCCAAGGGCTGGCATCATCCCTTCTCATGCATGAGAAAGTCTGAGCTGAGTGAGGCTGGTCAGTGGGCTGACACTCTTGGCTCTGATTCGGGGACGCAAAGGTGGAACCTCTGTGATTCAGTTCAGATCAGGGGACTCACCAGGTCCTGTTTCCTCCTAGAGCCCCCTGAGGTGACCGTGTTTCCCAAGGAGCCTGTGGAGCTGGGCCAACCCAATACCCTCATCTGCCACACTGACAAGTTCTTCCCGCCGGTGCTCAATGTCACGTGGCTGTGCAATGGGCAGCCGGTCACTGAGGGTGTCGCTGAGACCATCTTCCTGCCCAGAACAGATTACAGCTTCCACAAGTTCCACTACTTGACCTTCATGCCCTTGACTGACAATGTCTATGACTGCAAAGTGGATCATTGGGGCCTGGACAAGCCGCTTGTCGGGCACTGGGGTATGCAGTCCCTTTTCCTCTCCATAATCTCTTGACACCCTCCACTCCCCGGACCAGGTACCCTCTGTACCAGCTTTTCCCACTCACCAAGTCTCAGTCCTCTCCATCTCCTAATGTGCCATCAATGGGTCCATATTCTTCAACCTCCAGGCCATCCCAGGTTGGCCTTACCCTTAACCACACCTTCTGATTTCATCTTCATTCCTTCCTCAGAGGCTCAGGAGCCAATCCATGTGACTGAGACAACGGAGACTGTGCTCTGTGCCCTGGGCCTGCTGCTGGGCCTGGTGGGCATCATGGCTGGCACCATCCTCATCATAAAGGCTCTGCATTCTGGTCATGACCCCAGAGCCCGGGGGCTCCTGTGGGCTATTGTCAGAGGAAAAGAGGAGGGAGCCTAGGATCTGTACTATATAATGAATGAAGGAAAAATTCTATTTCATAAATATACATTGATCTCTTAATGACTTAAAAGCATCAGACTGCATAATAACAACACTGATAATTTACTGAGCATTTAATATGCTCAGCCACTATTCTGAACATTTACATTTATTAACTCATTTTATCCCCAGAAATACTCTGTGAGGTAGGTACTATTACTGTCTCCATTTTACACTAGAGGTAATCTTCTTACATGTCTTTTTACATACACAGAGACATTAAGTAATTTGACTAAGGTCACACAGCTAGGGAGCAGTGTAGCTATCATTCCAATTCAGAAAGTCTGGATCCAAAACTCCTTAGTAACTGTTCTATACACCCTATTTTATTTACTAAAAAAAAATAAGACCAAGCTCAAATGCTATAAGAACTTATAGTCTAGTATTGACTCCAAATCCATATTTCTATATATAATTACAACACAATGTGACAGGTGTCTATAAACCATTTGCTGTCTCTATTTGGACTCACTGAATGAAAAAGCTCACATGAAAATGCCCCTTCTGACTGCAACCTCCTCAGGTCCCCTCCCACTGTGGGAGCTTTTCTTCTCTCCTCTCAATAAATCCTGCTTTCTCAAAAAAAAAAAAAAGAAAGAAAGAAAGAAAGAAAAAAAGAAAAAAAAAAAGAAAATGCCCGTTCTGGAATCCCATAGCTTTCTACTTATAACACTACCATGTTTTATATATTTGTACGTTTTTGTAATTCTCTTCCCATTAGATAGTGATTGTCCATGATGGTGACCACATTTAATTCATTATTACTACTATCCTTGCTGGATCTCAGGTGCAAAGGGTTAAGTGGATCATACTACTCAGTTCATGTATATGATCATCATTGCTTCCTCCAAGTTTCCTCTCTTGATTTATTTGTTCCCTTCTATCCCCAGGCCTCACTCTCATATCTAACCTCTTACTCCTACCCCATAGGTAAACATTCTAATAGATTTGATGAGTTTCCTTTTATTTGCATATACCCTGTAACATGCAGTGTTTTCTAGGGTATATGTATTTTTAATTAACCAAAATGGCACTATATTATAGATCTAATTTTGTACACCTAGATTGTTGCTTCTAGCTCTTCCATAGTATTCTTCTCTATACCTCCATATGTTAGTCCAATTTGCATTGCTATAAAGGAATACCTGAGGCTGGGTAATTTATAAAGAAAAGAGATTTATTTCACTCGTTTCTGCAGTATAAGAAGGATGGTGTCAACATCTGCTTGGCTTTTGGTGAGGATTCAGGAAGCTTTTACTCATGGTGGAAGGCAAGGGGAGCCAGTGTGTCACATGGCTAGAGAGGGAACAAGAGAGAGAGGAGGACATGTCTTGACAACCGGGTCTTGAGTCCACTGATAGAGTGAGAACTCACTCAATACTCCAGTGAGAGAACCAAGTCATTTGTGGGGGATCTGTCCCCAGGACCCAAACACCCCCACCAGTTCCCATCTCCAACATTGGGGGATTAATTATCGACATGAGATTGAATGGGGACAAATATCCAAACTGTATCAATCCACTTACCTATATTTCCACTAAGACACCTGAATTATCTCTGGTTCTCCACTATTGCAAGCCATGTTTGTATTCTCATGTGGACCTGCATATGCATATGGACTTGCATCTCTGCAATGCATGCACCCTAAAATGGGGTTGCAGGGTCCCTGGGGATGCAGTTCCTTAATTTGACTAAGTGTTGCCCATCTGCTCACCAGAATGGTTGTGTTAATCTATATTTCCCTCAGCAGTTACTGATATTTTCTGCAACTCCTAAATTCACATTAATTCACATCAACACTGGACATTTTCCAGTTTTCTAATATTTTCAAATCCCTTTGCATAAGTGAACATGCTGTCTTATTTTACATTTTTTTTTTCTGAGTCAGAGTTTCACTCTTGAGTGCAGTGGCATGCTTACAGCCATGTCAGCCTTGATCTGCTGGGCTCAGGCAATCCTTCCACCTTAGCCTTCCAAGTAGCTGGAAATACAGACCCGTGCCACCGCACCTGGCTAAATTTTTGATTTTTATTGCAGAAATGAGGTCTTGCCATGTTGCCCAGGTTGATCTTGAAACCCTGGACTCAGGCAATCCTCTTACCGCTACCTCCCAAAGTGCTGGGATTGCTGGCATGAGCCACTGCTCCCGACCTTATTTTGCACTTTCTTCTTAAATTACTTATAATTTAGGTGATCTTCTCTGCTGGTCAGTCACTTTGGGGCTCCTTTTCAGTAAATTGCTGGTTCACATCCTTTGCCCATTTTTGTATTGTCTTTTTCTTTTTGGTTTGCAGGAGATCCTTGTATAGTCTTGTCATACCTTGTCAGTTTTAGACATTGTAAATGATTTCTCCAAATCTGATTTCTGGCAGCTTCTTCCATGGTTTCCTTTATTAAATAGAAATCCTTAATATTTTGTAATAAAGTTTAGCAAATTTTTACTACTGTCTTTTGTTCATGTGATTTTTTTTAAAAAGAAGTGTTCCCCATACTGAAGTCTCAAAGATACTTTAAAATATCTCGTTTAGTATTAAATTTTACGTTTACTTCTTCTTCTTCTTCTTTTTTTGAGTTGGGGGGTCTCACTCTGTCGCCCGACTGGAGTGCAGTGGCATGCTCACGGCCACCCAGCGTTGACCTGCAGGGCTCAGGTGATCCTTCCATCACAGTCTTCCAAGTAGTTGGAACTACAGGCGTATGCTACCATGTCTGGCTAGTTTTTGTGATTTGTTATAAAGATGAGGTCTCTGGCCAGGCTCGGTGGCTTGGCCTGTATTCTCAGCACTTTGGGAGGCTGAGGCGAGTGGATTGCCTAAGCCCGAGGGTTTGAGACCCACCCGGGCAACTTGGTGAAACCTCATCTCTACAATAAATAAAAAATTAGCTGGGCATTGTAGCACGCACCTGTGGTTCTGGCTACTTGGACAGCTAGGTGGAAGGATCGCCTGAGCCCAGCAGATCAATGCTGGGTGGCCATGAGCGTGCCACTGCACTCCAGTCTGGGCAACGGAGTGAGACCCCAACTCAAAAAAAAAAAAAAGATGAGGTCTTACCAAGTTGTCCAGGTTGGTCTCAAACCCAGGGGCCCAGGCAATTCTTTCACCTCGGCCTCCCTAAGTGCTGGGATTACAGGCTGAGGCACCGCACCCAGTCAAGAAATTGTTCTTAAACGTGAAATTTAAGTTAGATTTCTTTGTATCACCACATTCTTGTATGTAGGAGAAATAAAAAAGCATAATTGCAATTAGAAAATTAAAAATGTTATTTCATTCACCTATATGTCTAGAAGCATCAAAGAATTTCTTTAAAATTATCAAAGACATAATATCATTTGGCAGCAATCAAATGAATTCCTACTTGATACAAAGAATCAGCATATAATTTTTAAAGAAATATTATTCACTCACAAAAGTAACTACAGATAAAAAGTACTCAAGGACCAACTTCTATAATGTATTTCCAAACAACCTCATTAAGAGGAATGTAAGGCCAGGCTGGGTGGCTCAGCCTGTAATCCCAGCACTTTGGGAGGCCAAGGCGAGTGGATTGCCTGAGACTGTGGGTTCGAGACCCACCCGAGCAACTTGGCGAGACCTCATCTCTATAGTAAATCAAAAAAATTAATGGGAGTGGTAGCACATGCCTGTGGTTCCAGCTACTTGGAAGGCCGAAGCAGAAAGATTGCTGGAGCCCAGCAGGTCGAAGCTGCAGTGGCCGGGAACATGCCACTGCACTCCAATCTGGGTGATAGAATGAGACTCCAACTCAAAAAACAAAACAAAACAAAACAAAACAAAAAAAGAGGACTGTGATTGTGATGTCTCCATTTTAGTTTTCTTCTCTTGTCCCCAAACCTCACAGTAAGTAGATTGGGGCTTTCTAGGCCATGTCAGTCCCTGACAGTTCTCCCACTTCTTCCAGCAGTTCTAGCATCTTCTTTACTCAGCGCATAAGTGCCCCTTCTGACATCTTCTGATTGACTGAACCCCATCAAGCTGTTTTATCTCCACTCTTTCTCCTTTGACAGGGGTAGGGAAATGAGCCTTGGATCCAGAGCTCCTCCCCTTCACTGCCTCATTTTCTCCTTGCTTTCTGGCTCACAGTTGCCATTGCAGATGTACCTTGAAGCCTTAAGGAGCCAGACCAGAGCCATGATCCTGCAAGCCATCGCCATGGCAACCCTGGTGGCTCTGCTGAACCTCTCTAAAACTGGGGCCATCAAGGGTGAGTGCGCAGATAGGCAAGAAAGGGTAGGGGACTCTGGGAGATTCTGGAGGCCATAGGTGATCTTTTAGTTTCTGCTTCTCTTCTTCCTTTTTTTTTTTTTTTTGAGTTGGAGTCTCACTCTGTCGCCCAGACTGGAGTGCAGTGGCCGCTCCCGGCTACCGCAGCCTCGACCCGCTGGGCTCCGGCGATTCTTCCGCCTCAGCCTTCCAAGTAGCTCTTCCTTTTTAATTATAGTGTGTGAGGCTCTCTTTTACTTCCTCTCATTATAACAACAGCAATGATAAGCACCCTTGACTGAACACCTATGAAGTGCCAAACCTCAAGTCATTCCTCACAATGCTGCCTTCAGGAAGGCATTTATTAACCCCATCTTAGAAACAAAAAGACTGAAACTCAAAGAGAGTCATAAAGTGTCTCATTTTCCCCATGTCATGTTACTGAAGAGAGAAGAGCCAGGGTTCTGCACTTCCTCTAGAGAGTCTCTCTCTCTCTCTCTCAAGTTGTAGTGGTAGCCTTCTTGAAATATGAGTCTACAATGTGCTTTTGACCTTCTCCCATTTCATTCTGTCCTCATCTCACTGAACTCTCCCTCTTCTCCACATCTCTGATGCTGCGCTCAGGGTGGCACCTAATGATCGTTATATAACCCAAACCAGTGGTCAATGCTCTGTCTCTATCTTATTTGTGTCATTAGTAATATTTGAGATGGGTCCACTCCCCTTTCCTGCAATTTTTTGTCTGTCCATTGTTTTATGAGCACGTTTTCTCCTTGTCTTCCTCATGTTAGTCCTCTCCTTTTCAGTCTCTTTTTCATGTCTGTGTTTGCCAGGATGCAGGACCACACCTTCAGACCC